GTTGGGGACCCGAGAGCGGCGACGTATGGCAAGTTTGTTTCAATCGCCCTATATGCTCCGTACTTCCCTTTGAGTCTCATCTCGAAGTGAAAGGCACGGCTGGCGAAAAACGAACACGGAACGGCGGATCTGGTTCTTTTTGTTCCCGCGACATCGCACCTTGCGACAGCATTGGACTTCTTCGGAGGACGCTGCAAAGTCCTCCTGACTTCGCTGCGGGGTTTCCACGCGGAGGATGGGTGACGGGGTTTAGGGTTTATAATTCTTGGACAGGCCGGCTGATACATGGCAATACATCGCATAGATTCCACGACGACTCCATGGAGCGGGATGTCACATCGATCGGCACATGGTCTGATCATCTGATCGGCACACATGGTCCGCAAAGCGCTCAAAGCTTGGAGGCTTTGGCCGACTTTCATCCAATGCTTGGGGTGCACAACTTCTGGAGAGCGCTCCTCCAACTGCCCAAGGACTGTCTTCGCATGAACCAAGTCCCAAAGAACCTCCGCAGAAGACTGGGGTCCATTTCAGGCTGTGTGACATCTTGTGCCACAGTCCAAATTCTCTAAGCGAAGAAAGTGGATCAAAAAGAATGGTCTTCCGATTTATATATCTACAGTAAGAGGGGCAAAGCCTGGCGATGCCCAAACCCTTTAATGGGATTTTTTACAAAAACACTGCAGTGCCCCAAGGTCTTGTAATCTGGGTGACCAACCCTAAAATGAGTGGGGAGTCTTGACAAACGGGGAGGGTCAGGAGGGGACAGAGGAGCAAAAGCCAAGGCAACAGGTTTCCGTTATCCGGAACAGTCAGAATCAAGAGCTTGCCTGGCTGCACCTTCACAAGTCATTTCTTGATTGGAATGTCATTTCTCGATTAGAACCAATCAGAAACCTAGCAGGTACAGAACCTAGAAGGGTACAGCCAATCCGCCGACCACGGTCTCGGCCGATGAAGGTGAGCGTGAGCGGATCGGGGCCGGCGTGTTCCTGTTGAGGGGCTCCGGTGAACCTTGGGCGATGTGCCACATTGACAAGCACTTGCCAAAAGACTGCCTCTGCAATGACATTTGTCTAAGTTCATCTCTTCTGCGACCGTCAAGGTTTTTTCACGGGGAAAGCGTTGCGCCAGGCTTGTCCCGGGTTCGAGTCCCTGCACGTCAGGCACCCAGTCTGGCGCCCTTTGGATTGAGGCAGCGTGGGATAAAAGCCAGGCGCACCGCATGGTACCCCGCACGCGCGCCTCAGGGAGCGGGCGCTGCGGTGTGCTTGGCTTCAAGCCCGCGGCGGCCGCAGGCGTAAGCCCCCTAAATCCCTAGCACCACTGGAGGCGCTCCCATATGATTTCAAGATGGATATGTTGATGGATGTGAGGTCCTCTTCAAAGGCGCATGGTGCGAAATATGCTGCCCGAGTCCCGAGTGGCCTTGCATTATTAGCACTTTGTGCTATTTGTGCTTCTGCTTTCTCCTCATCCAGAGAAAGAGACAGGAAAAAAAGGAAGAGAAAGAGAAAGGTAGGAGGAAGAGAAAAAGGAACCAGCAGAGGAAAAGGAAGAGGACGAGGACTTGGTTACGCCTGCGCCTGACGCTCTTAGGCGTAAGCCTCAGATTGTGAAACCCTTCAACACACTGGCCAGGATGCTCCACCGATCCGCGCCTCTTTGACGTTACTGACAAGGTCGGATGCCTGCAACAAAGGCAAAGAAGGGTGTCAGTGGTGCTGTGGGACATCCACTGTATCATGTCATCAAAGCTCTTCTGGGCTCTTCTTGATCCCTTTTCCAAAACCCAAAGATTGACGCCCAGAACCATCAGTGCCTCACCTGCAAGGATGCATGTGTACCCAACAAGCTCTGCTGCTGGGTGGAATTTGCAGGCCACCTGGGCCGGAAGGCGACACGTTGCTTCCGGGCATGAAGAGCACAGTCGGCTTTTGGCAAGCCAGCTCCGGCAACCAGCTGGTGGCAAGAATGAATCCATAAACTCTGTTGAAGAGCATCCTTGTTTCTAGTAGTAACAAGTGCCACGCTAGTAGTAACAAGTGCCTTACTAGTAGTAACAATGTTTGCTATTAGAAACAATAAGCTAATAGCCCAAAAGTGACGTGACGTGACGTCCGCACGACGATCGAAAAGCGACCTGCGGCACGGCACACATCCTGCACGCCTGGCACGACCCCGCCTGGGATGCTGTTCGCCCCGGCGCTGCAATCGATCCAAGCTCAATTGTTCCTGGCCAATTCTGCGGAGTTGCAGGGATGGGAGGGCCATTCCAAAAAGCACCCTTTTGTTGGACTGCCCAACGTCATGTTGGAATTTAGGTAGTGTTTTGGAGTGTTGTAAAAAAGTGCTTGCAAATACGACAATATCAGTTGCTCCATGTTGTGTCCATGCTTGCTAATCCTGCTACCAGTAGTTTGGCCATTTGGCCATGAGCAGAAATAAGTTCTCGATCTCCCAGTGTGCAGCGTGAAACGCTGTCCTCTGCTTGGAGCAAGCGCTTGCGCCAGTCTTGCGCTTCTAGCCTGTGATGTTTGGTCTGAAGCATCAAACGGAGCACAAAATAGGCGGGAAAAGCATATTGTATATTTGTTCAATGGAAAAACGGAAAGGCACCCCAAAAGTAACCAGACTCAGACTGACCAAGACATTCGACATCTCCAAGACCTGACCAAACAAAACGCTGGGCATCCCAAACTCCGCGGCGCAAAGCTGCTCCGCTGCGCTGGCGGCCTCCGGCACGGTACCAAAGGGTCACGAAACGGTGTTTCCTCGTCAATGGTCTGCTTGGGGATGGAGCAAACTGGGCTGTAACCTTTGTATCCTCTGTATAGCATCCTCTAACAATCGCTTTACCTTTGCAAATATTATTCATGCAACATAATATTTCAACAAAGCTCGTAAAAGTCGCACAAAAAATTACAGGTTCCTCTTGAACACGCAGCAGTGAATAGATGATTTTACAGGCTTGGGTGAGTGCTGCCAATCATTGAAACTCTCATGCATGACACCCACCGAAATGTGATCCACCACCGATTGCTGCGGTCCCAAGATCTGGGTCCAAATCTGGTCCAACATCTCTTATTATTCATGAATCGTTGAATCAAACCAAACAATAAAGGCATCCGGTTTGATCCCGTTTGATCCCAGTCGCCCGACTTCGGCCGAAGTATCGGTGCTTGGCTTCATGTCGCGGAAGTGCGCCGGTGGTCCCAGCCTCGTTTGACCTGTGCGAGGTCGCATGCCCCAACGAAACCCGATGCGGTAAACAAAACGAAACACGTGCCATGTCTTAGAATTGGTTCAGATACAACCACCCTAGACTCCATGATCTGAACGCTGTGTGAGATCGTCCTTTCCGCATTCGACAGTGGCTCCATTGGTCGTATTTGGGATCGTACTACCAGGCTTCGGTGGCTCCTGCTTCCGTCAAATGCCACCTTCCAGGCACCTTGCCCAAACATAAATCTACCTAGTTAGAAGCCCGGTGTCACTTTCACAGTGTGAGAGTGCGCGAAAAAGAAACAGGTGAAAAGTTACGCTTCCGGCCATGACTGGGAATCCTCATGTGTATGTCATTCTATGTCCAACAGGAGTCCAACATATTAATTGATAGTTTGTCCTATTAAATGTATTCCAAATCATTGATTGGCGTAGCCAAGGATGACCATTCTCCCGATTCACACGCAAACACCATGCGTGCAAGATGTCAACCAATGTCAAACTCAATAGACATGCTCTGCAATGTCAGTGTAGGAGAAAATAACCACACCCTATTGATTAATTTGATTTGATTTGATCCAGCCAAATTTTGGATATGGTACAGAAGGCTATGGGCAGCCAGGGTACAGGTAGGTTTAGGAACAATGGGTGTACGATGGTGTACGGATATGATGGGTACGTTACACAGGTACAAATTTGCTAGTGTACACCCTACCCATACCTACTGTACAAACTTCTTCATTGTAGGATACCAAGTTTCATCGCAATATTCGATACTCCTACGGAAAGTCTTGGAAAGCAGGTACAAGTACAGTATTCTACAATCAACAGCTGGTAGGGCTTGTAAAGACCAGCCCACTTTCAACGAGAATGCGCTCACCTTTACTAAAAGCATCTTCCAGAAACCCATGTGTTTTTTCATGACAATGATCGAATTTAGATACAACGAAATTCACCCAGAACGGCGGAACCAATTTTTGATTGGAGCTTCATTTGAACGGCTCAAGGACCTGTAGCTTTCTGCGGTCTCAAGTTGAAGGGATGCAAGCCCTTTTCGCGGCCCAGTGGTTGTCTCTCGGTCTCTCCTCACCCAATGATCTACATTTTATAATATACAACACATGGTTCCCATAAATAGACGTATAAAATGTTTAAATGATCCAAGAAAGTGTCGAGAGTCCCCGTACCTCCACTTCCCAGTGACCCCAATTTTGTTCATAAAATGTGAATTCTTGACTTGGCAGGGAGGCCTGCCACCCAAAACCTTGGGTCCTCCTTTCTCGTCGTTCCTCCCTGAGGCTCCCCACCGAGGGCGAGGTTCGGTCATGGCGAGACCATGCTGCAAGAAGAAAACATCTTTTCCAACAAAAATCATCCCCAAGTCTCCTCACTTCTCTGGAATTCGGGACGAAGCTTTCCTTTTCGTAGATGGGTATCCGTAATTTCCATGAATGGAGATCTTCGGGTCCAACTCAAGACATCTCAAGACTCAGGGAGCGTAATCTTCCCAATTACAGTGTCAGATAGTGTCAGTACAAATATGTTTCATACCGGCATGCCGAAGTCCCATGGGGGTTGTAGCATAATTAGTTGTGTATCTGTATAAGTTATGCAACGTTCCATGTATTTTTTCCAGCCCCTGAGCCTGCGGCGGGCAACATCTTGGCATACATTCGTGTGCAAACATGGTCTAACAGCGAGAAAATGTGCCTTGCGAGAAAAAGGACTCACAATATGGGAGCTTGATAACAAGGTTATCAACCAGCTTGATCACCAGGGAGCTTATCAACCAGGGAGCTTGGATGTTCCTTGTTATGGGAGCTTGATTTCCCTGGTTGATCACCAAAGGTCCCTCACCTGGACGAATTCTTTCATCTTCGCAGCCTTGGAGCACGGCGTCTACGGCGTCGATCTGACGGCGTTCTGGCGATGGACGTGAAGCTCCAAGACAGATCGTCCATGTCGTCCCCCTCTTGGCGCGAATGGTGTGGCACTCCATGGCCCTTGTGCCATGACTTGAGCTATTTCACTGAGTGATTCTTTTCACTGGCAGCACTCATGCACGTCGCCATCCTATCAAAGTGTTCGTAGCAGAAGTCTCTCACGTTATGCTTTCAAAGAAGCCTCAAGACATGGAGATGTCCAGTCCAGCCCGTGACAGAGCGTGTGCTGCTTCTGCCAATCAATACAATTAGATGGCAATGGATGGAAATGGAGACACCCTCAAAGGACTTCCAACATGTGCAAGTTTACCTGGATAAGTCCTTCCTTCACTTCTTCTTGCCCCCTTTGTCAGCATATTCTCCTTTGCGCTCACAGTGAACGATCCTGCCGAGCAAGACATCTTGATGACCATCCAGGAAAATAATTCGGGAAAAGGACACTGACTGCCCTGTGCTGGAGTCACACAGAAAAGGCTTCAATGGCTCCTGAGGGGTGAATCGGGAGCCAAAGACGATAGAACTCACACGTCACACATACAAAAAAGAACATATGACATCACCTGCCGGTTCCCATACAAATATGCTATCGTTTAATAGGGCTACAAAGGACCAAAAGACTGCCAGGCATCGAATGTGCAAAGTGCCAAATCCCCAAAGACTAGCTCACTTGGAGCATCGATCTTTTGATCTCCTTGCACAATGGTTAAAATATGTTGAAATTTGGAACTACTAGTAACAAGGGCATTACTACTACTAGTAGCTAGAAACTACTAATAACTGAAAGGAGTTTTGCTGAAAATTTTGATAAAGTTTGAAAGATTCCTACCTCCTAAGAATCTGCTTACCGCAGGGATCATTGCTGAACGCAAAAGAACGAGGGCTTTGTGTCATGGCAGGTCATGGCTCAAGTGATGATGAAGACATTGTATGAATTGAAAACTGCTGGGAAAAACAAACAAAGACATTCTGTGCGGACAGAAAACAGTTACTAGTGGGCACAAACACAAAAAACTACCAACCTGCAGCCCGACCCTATATTTCCGTACCAAAAGCTACTGCGTTGGGCCCCCTTGAGGCCTCTGCCTGGCTTCAAGCAATGTGATGGTTATATGAATTGTTTTCTAACTTACTTGCTTAAGCTGTCCTCATCCAAAGTCAGGGCGTCCCATATTGCCTTACAATGTTTGGTAGAATGAGCTTTGTATGTATCGCTTTGCAGGTTTTACATGTTTCGCACCACCAACATGAATCTCACGGATCACAAGCAAAACACAAAACGCACTGACAGAGAATCCCCTGCAGCCCCTGCAAACACTGGAAGTGTGACAAGCTCTTGAAGTGAGGACGGACAACAGCACGGAGGGCTGTTCCAGCAAGCGCAACATTGCTGGCTTCTGCCGCTCGTTTGCTGATCTGATCTCTTTCCAAGCCAAGACAGGCGGACAAAGGCGTGTACCTTGTTCCAGAGCCTAGCCTTTCCTCACAGGCTGGGGCCAGCCCATGAGCCAAGAGTCAGGACACGGCCCCCCAAACACAAGCAATCACAATCCCTACAGTAATCGCAAAGTTAATCGTCCCTTAAATCTCAGATTGTCTCAGGTCGATAACCTACTACAAATCACCCAGTAGATCACCAAGCAAAACTTGTCCTGTCTGCTTGCTCATTTTCCATCGTATGGAGCAAAGACGGCATGGCGCGCGAGCACAGCGAACCATCGCTAGCGGACAGTAGCCAGTCTTGATCTCTCTTTTCCGAACCATCACCTGTGCATCGAAGCGAATGACATTGCGGAAGCTCATGTCATCCTTGGCCACCACCACATCCCCAGATCGAGGTTTTCTTCCCAAGCCTGCAAGCTTCAGGCCCACGAGGTCACCTTCTGTGGCGGAGTCTCGTGCTTGAGAAAACATTTGAATGCTATCCACAGTGGCCTCACTCTCATCTCCATCTTCTGGCAGAAGCCTGATTTCCTCACCTGCTTGAAGGCACCCTTGCTCTACGCGGCCAGCCACGATCTTGGTACGATCTCGTGGTGTGCAATACACGTTGGAGATTGACATCCGCAAAGGCTGGAGCTCTGCTTGAGAGCTCTGCTTCGGCCGGAACACTTGATTCAAAACATCGTACAAAGTCTTCACATGAATGGTCTCCTGGCCTATCTGCAACTCCTGTCCTGGCCACCAAGCCATGTTGCTTGATGCAGCGATCACATTGTCGCCCGTGTGGCTACAGAGTGGCAGGATGGGAATGGAAGTTTCGACTACTCCTTTGGGCCATCCGACCTTTGCCAGCAAGCGCTTCACTTCGCTCCTGATCTCATTAAACCGCTCTTCCCGTGCTCGGCCGCTTCCGTAAAAGAGGTCACCTAAGGTCCAAGCCGTGATCAAAAACGAAAGTCCAATTCAGCTCTTTTCAGGGACAGGGATCATCATGGATCCAAGTGCTCCCTTCAAAAGGCAGGAAATGCATCAGGTGATGTGCTACTCTATATGTGGAGCCCTTTCGCTGTCAAACAAAGAGCCTGAAATGTCCAGCCAAACACCAATGCATCTGAGTCACAATCCATCTTGTTTACCACAACGCACATCTGTTGTATACCCAAGAGTCTCAACAACCGGCCATGTTGTCGCGTTCCGCCTTCAATGTATTCCCTGCTACTTGGCTGCACTGAGCTAGTGAAGCTTCCGTCAGCAGGAACCAACAGGATAGCAGCCTCCGCTTGTGAGGCACCCATTAACATATTCCTTGGATCGTGCACTCAATGATAGGTTCCATGGAACCAAGACTGCAATTCTGTCTGTTCAGAGTTTAGATCGATTGTTGACATTGATTTGCAATGTACCATTAGCAGCAGGATCTTTCCCCAGCGGCTCGCACGGCAAAAAAAACCTTGTATGACTGGTCGGCCAAGGCTCTTGATGAAATCGCGATGACCCGAACAATCCACTAGCGTGTAGTTCCATTTGTCCGTGAAGAACTCATGCCTCTTGCAAGTGATGGTGATTCCTCCTGAGCAAGGTTGGCTACTAGCAAAAACAGAAAGACCCACAGCACACATGTCATCCATGACTTGCGGTCCTTGAACTCAATTCTTGATAAATTTGAACACATCTTGTCATTCATCTTCCCATGAAGCGTTATCGGATTCTGCCATGATTCTAAGATGCTCTTCCGGGGTAGCAAGGCATGGCACCAGGTCTTTCCTTCCAAGCATGTAGAGTAGGGTTCCAGCAAGTGAGGTCTTCCCTGAGTCCACATGTCCGCAAAGCGCCACTGTCAAGCGCTTGGCTTCCATCAATGCACCCCTTGTTGTGCCACGTTCTGTTGCGTGCGCGTGGGTTCACGGCAGTGGGTGACACATTGGGTTTTTGTTGCCATCTGCACCAGTGGGATGACAACTGCAAAGATATGTGTATACGTGTTCAAGTTGAAGTGACACAACAGGGTCAAGACCGATTTAGTAATGAACCATAGAAGGAGCCTGGAGCATGAGATGGAGTTCAATTGCCAGGCATCATGAAACAGTTGATCTAGTTCATAGGGGACACACAAATCTGAATATACTGTATCTGAATATGAATCCATGTCGAGCCACGACTGCAGTAGCCGATTTGCTCGGCAAAGGAACACACAATCAAATAATATCTCGTTGTGACTGGCAATGGTTCGAACCTAACCTAGTGATATTGTTTGACCAAAGGAACATGTGCACATATATATTATATACATAATCTCTATATATATATATATATCAATGGGCCAAGGGCTACTATATATATATATATGTATATGATTGGTTGACGGTTGACGGTGCACCCTACAAAAGCCATATCCACTGTACCCATTCAGGGAGGAGGTTGATATAGATTGACACACACTCTGCATGCTCAGCACATATTCTTTCTTGGAGCATGAAATATCATGAGATGTAGGTCCTCAGAGGTGGAATGCCTCACAGCATATCCTTCAGGAAGCTGTGGAAAGTCAATCCGAATTGCATGCAAAGAATTGCTGATCTCTACAAGTTGTGAGTGCAGCAAATCTCGTTTTGCGAACTCTTGCTTCAATCAAGCACGTTTTCAGACTAGCAAAATGCTTCTGACAAAGCCATACAAAAGGCACTGACCGCAAAACGACAAAGCATGGCAACTCAATTTGCCATAAATGTAATACAACGAAAATGCATTGAACAGGACAAGCCGAGGGTGTCCCTGTTGTTCCCTATTATCTGTGTGTTTGTTAGGTTTCCCGTCACCTGATGGTGAAAAAAACTGCACAAAAAGAAACAAAACACCGGCAAGCGTGCACGAAAACCGCACATCACCATGAAGAAGCATAGGAACTATGCAGCTTGTCAATTGAACATGAATGTATCCTGGTATGTGGACCATTTACAGTCAGCTTTCTGGGAAGTCAGGTAGTTTAGCACTGATGTCCTTGCTGCAATAATGTCATTTGTCAATGAGGCTTCAGTATTTGTGTTGTACTTAGACATGGCTTTAGTCTCTTGCGTCCGCCTTAACGTTTGAGACATCCCCGTAGGCGAACGCAAGTTAAGCATGAAGCATGGACTCGAGTTTGTGCTGGCCACACTCCACAAGTGAATCTTGCCGAGTTGATGTCTGTATGGACATTATCACACAACGAGGTGTCGGTCGAATAAAAGAAAGCCAAAACGCACTGGGTGGGGGGATTTCCCAGTTTCTTCCCAAGAACTAGCCCGTTTTCCCCGTTTTGGTGAGTGAGTCTTGGGACTTGGCCCTCTTCGGCGCCCTAAAGCTTCAAAACACTCAACCCGTGGCTGTCTCAGCCTTGGCCGTCTCAGCCTCCTCCGCCTGGAAGGTGGGTCCAAGATGATCCAAGTGATGGCCTTTTTTCGAACTCAGAAAGGCGTGGAGGCATCCATCCCTCTGACTCAGCAGCATCCAAAACACAACAGTGCATGGCAACAAGGTTTATCCCCTTAGAGCTAGGGTTCTCGTCAGTCTTTGTCAAGACATCATGGGTTGTCAAGAACCCTTCGAAGTGCTGAAAGCAAGCAGCAACCACAGAGCAACATCTCCCAACATATGGCAGTCGCAGGTCGGCTTACCAGCGTTGAGCTGCAGGCAGCAGGCACCCAACTGCCAATAATAATTCATCTGATGCTTTTTTCATTAGTCGAAGGGGTCAACTGCCGACGCATGGGTTTTTCTGGACTGGTTGCGATGGGTGCCTGTGCTGCTTCTGGGGCCCTCTTACACAAGAGGAGCACGAAACCCAACTGGCACCCCATGGCACCACGGGAGTCCAAGCTCTGATGGCTAACACTCCGTCCCCCTGACCCTGCCACATCGGAGAGGAGGTGCTCCGGAGCAGTCGCGATGCCCTTTGTTACTAGTAGCTTCTTGTTACTACTAGTACGGCACTTGTTACTAGTAGCGATGCACCTGTTACTACTAGCGATGCACTAGAAACTAGTAGCTTCTTGTTCCTAGTAGCTACTAGTAGCGTCCTTGCTCCTGTCCTGACCCTGCCTCTGCTTCACAAAGGATGGATTGGAGCATGCGAGGGATTTGATCCTGGCAAGATTTGGATGCCATGGGAAGCGGACCTCTGCCTCTGGCAAATCCAAGTTCATGATCGACTCTACAGAAACAGAAATGGCAGGGAGCACTCTTGTCGCTGCTCTTTTCATGTTTTGTTTCATGTTTTATATGTGTTTTTTAATATGTTTGTTGATGTCTTTTTGAGCATCTTCGCTTGAACAGGCAGGGAGCACTACCCTGGCCAGGGACATCAAAATGGGCCTTGGCTAGGATTCGATGAAGTCCACGACATACACAGTACATGTCACAAACCGAATGAACAAACATCCTGGTGGTTTCTCGGTGTGTCTGCTCAAACCAGGGAGGTCATATCTAAGAGCTCGGCAACAAGTCAAGTAGCTCCGTATCACTCGGATCATGTTTCCACCTCCACGTCCGCAGAGGCGGCCGCGGTGACAAACTCTCTTTGGATGAGAAGAAACTGAAGAACGATGGAAAATAGCAATGTCATATATGCCACGGGGTTTTAATGCATATAACTATAACTTATAACTTGGTCACGGACTCCAAATTGGGATGTGACTTAATATAACAGATACAGGAAGCCGGATAAGTCACTGACTGGATGACAACCCACACGCGAAGGTTGGTTCTCCGGCCATTTCTTTGCAGTATGTTCTCGGCAGCCCGCGGTGGAGCCCTTTTTTGCGTTACGTCACAGGGCACGTTGAGACCCAAGGACCCAAGGAGAGGGACATGGAACCCCAATGCTGTTGGCGTTAAAGGAAACACCTGTTGAAACAGCTGCAATGGTTGTTATAGCGCATTGCAAGAGCAATGGTTCATCTGTTTGCAATTGCGGACATTTGCGGACAACCTGTTTGCAATTGTTGTATTCATATATCATTACAAATCATGAGCACTACAATTGGATACAGTTGGTCCATACCCCTTAAAAATTATCCTAAAATGCACCGCAATGGCATTGGTTTCATCATGTTTCATCAACACCTTCCCTGGTACCACACCCATCAAGGGCGGCCGCCCAGCTAGGAAGCTGACGTTTGGATTGGGATGGCATTGTGCGGTTGGAGAGCATAACAAATGGGCCTGCGAAGCGACACGAGCGACATGGTTGAAGGCACCACGTTCAAGTCAAAAACGAACAAAACAGAGGGTTCGTAAGGGCCGGGCATGTTGTCTATGATGATCACCTCAATATCTGCAAGATTGTGAAAACACAAACTATCAAAACATTCAAAAACTATATGATGTTGTATTATGTTGATTTATATTATATAGAACTAATATCACGATGTGGTTCCGATCAGCGGCTGTGAGGAAGTGCCAGCGACCATGGCCCCCAGCATGATTCAAGTCACGGCCGAGCTTGGATAAGTCCTGGACCGCCGCACTCTCGCCCGTCGCAAGAACCGGACAGCAACCGCTGTGTGGGCGAAGATCAGAAAGAGAAGTGCAGAAATTCTGACCAACATGTATCATACTATCAACATCTCGCTACTAGGAACAGGTGCATCGCTACTAGTAACAAGTGCCTTACTAGTAGAAACAAGAAGCTATTAGAAACAAGTGCCTTACTAGTAGTTTCTAATGCTTGCCTTTCTTTGGCATTCTTTTTGTAATACTGGACCGGGTGGTGGGCTCACCCAGTCTCGTATTGACTCTACCAAGACTCGCAGGGCCTGGGTGTTTAACAAACCTCTCTCGCTGAACTAGCCAGGCATTTCATGTTTCGTGTCGTGTAGTCTTCTACATCTAAACTAAATACCACACCTACTAGGTCACTAGGTCTTGCTTACGATGAAAAGGGCTTCCAAACCTTGACAAAGCTTTTGACTAGAGTCATCTAGGGTCCAACATGTCAGTGAATTAGAATCTGTTTCAGAAAAAGGATGGAAAACCACTTGGCGACCCTTCACCGCACAACACGTAGCCCTACGGCATCAAAACGGCTTCTCCTTGACGTAGCCTTCCTTGTAGCGTGTGCAAGCTTCTCTAAAAAGCCTGGCTGTGAGCGACAGTCTGGAAGTGAAGTGAAGGATTCACGAGCGAGAGTCAAGTACTGTCAGTGTTGAACGGAATAGTAGTGACCTCGGGGTCACTGACAAGCAACATGTTTTCTGTGATAGAGAGAGGGGCTTTCACCACTCATACCTGTACGAAGACGTCCGTCGGAATCCGTCGCCGTGAACAAACAGCCGGTGGTTGCATTAACTTTCGAAACCAGTCCAAAAGAACCTACACGAGTTCCAACAGTCATGTAAGTTTGTTGCACGAAAAATGTGTTAGGGCAGGCAAGTTGCATTTGCATGTTTTTGGGGTCCATGCTCAATTAGAGATGGATCTCTGATCCATACTCGCATTTCGCTTCAGTGCGCACGAACTTTCGTTTGCGTTCATGCCCGCGCCTGTGCTGAATCCACCCGCGGGTGTCCAGAACGTCAAGAAGAGAATTCTGGGCACCGGTTCCGGGACACATCCCATTGGCCCATTGGCCCATATCGCCGTGCTTTCACAGCGGAACTTTTGTAACTCACAACGAAAGTGTCTCACTTCCTTGTCACAAATGATATAGAAAAAATAAACAGCAAAGGTGAGTCCATGCCGCTAAACCTTCCCATCCTCGAAAAGAGAACACCGGAACGGCTCGAAGATCTGCCCGAACAGCAGAAAAGCAAAGGGGAAGACTTATTCAGAGATGTATGAGGAGTAACCAAATAAGCATATGGCATATAATATATATATACACAGTCTATAGATGTCTATAGTCTATATAGTAAAAGAGCGACACATTGCATCTGTTGGTCTACTCGCTGAGGGCCAGAAGTTGCGGCCCCACAGTGATCCTCCTGATCTTCCTGATTTCTCGACACCATCCGGGCTCTCCAGGCCGCATACAAGGCAGTCGATGCCGTGAAGACCGCCACCTGCTCTCCCACCGAACGGTGGACGCTCCAAGGACCCGAACGTTGGATGAAAACCCGCCGGGCCCGGCCCTAGGGATCCAGTCGCGTTGGAGACACTGTTACGTAGGTGCCAGGAGGGCCGGGTATATGTATGTATATGTTTGGTTTCGATGGCCATATCCTGTTTGGGAGCTCTGTTGTCCCACATAACGACCGGGCTACAAACATGTCGCGATCCTGCAAAACTGAAAAGCAAACAAGATGGAGGCCACGAACCCGAATGCAAACACGTTCAAAAAGCTACATATGTCCAATTGACACTCTTGTAGGACACTCTTGCGGGCCACTCTTACGGGACACTCTTGTAGGACACTCTTGTGGGACACT